TGCTGAACTAAAGTTAGAAACAGAATTAATGAAAGTGTTACAGGGTGTGATTGTTAACTAGCTGGCTGAAAAACTCTTTCAGTATTGCTGACACTACTGACAAAAGACAGATTCAGGACTGATACATGATAAAGATTGTTTTCCATCTCCTCTACTCCTTTTCCCATGTCTACATGCTTGTACCTATGGCATGGACCAATCACAGCATGGACTGTGGGGGAAACGCATTAATAAATAAAAGAACATACTCTATTCCCTGCTGTTCTGAATTAATAATGAGCCTACAAAAGACCAATTAAACACATGATTAATGCCATAATCTATATAATTGCAGGCAATAATTCATTGTGAGCTAATGATAGCAATACTTAATATCGATTCACATGGGGTGTCTTTGTACAGTAGTGCTTAATTCTTTCAGTGAAGTGTCTCTTTTCAGAACTGCTAAAAATGCTATTAATAAGAGTCTATTTCTTGCTTTTCCTAAGGCAAATCAATGATTAAACAGGAAATTGTAAAAGCCAAATTTTAAAAAAAATATTTTTAGATTCTGGCATCATGGAGGCCGCTGCTTATTTAATTTTAAGTACAACACTGTGAACCAGTTAAAAGCATCATCACAACTTGCAACATCCACACTGATATTAGGACTACAGAATGAAAGATTCAGTGTTGATTAAAGGTCCACTTGCCACGCTTTTATCCAAAGCAACTTACAAGTGAGGGACATCACTAAATCTTCAGTGCAGTAAGAGACCTTGGTATAAGTACTTAGTACTACATCTATTTAATAAGTGCAAGGAGATCAAGTAAAGAAGTGCACTGAAAGTGCACAGTAAGTGCTGTTTATATCTTTATTATAAAGTAACAGGTTAATTTAAATAATAATAATAATAGTATTATTATGTTTGTATGTATGAATTAATTTATATGAACTTTTCTTGATAAATTAATACCGCACAGACTAAAGAAAATACTCCATTGGGAGGGGGCATCTTTGGCCCCACAGATTTATCAGATCAAATAAATTACAACAATGCAAGAGTGATTCAATCTAAAATCGACATTTTTGTGGCTAAAAAAAGCACATTTATCCAATTTCTGTGGTTTGAGAGAGTGAGTGTGTGAGCTCTTTGAGTGTCTGTCTCTGAAAGTGGTGAGAGCCGTCAGGGAGACGCAGAGAAGATGAATAATGGCATATTAAACATTAAGGATGAGGGAGTAGCACAGCAATTATTTCTGTTCATATTTCACTGAAAACACTTAGTTACATCCATCCACCTTTTCATGTGTCCCACTCCTTTCTCCTTTTCTCCTTCAATCTTTTTTAAAAAGAGTTATTCTGTGCATCTTCACCCCTTCAGTTTGTCTAATCTTTTTGTAACTCCATCTTTATTTAATTTTGCTGCTGAAATTACTCCCCACCTCTCTCCCTCTGCCTACCTCTATCTCTGTTTCACTTTTCACTGAAGAGTTTTTGTATTTCAACAGCTATCATTTAATGGCAGTTACTCATTACCGTAACATCACATTCGCACATACAGTATGTAGTGGAACACTTAAGTCCATATATGCACTATCTGTGTGTATGTGCCTGCTGGGGATGAGTGTGTAAAAGAGTAAAAGACAAACACAACATAAGACAAATGTAATAGAAGCAACATAAACTATAGCCTAAAAACACAATATCAATATTTTGAAGTTCATACGCAATATAAAATCAAAGATTGCTGATAAAGTATATTGATTTAATCTAAATACAATTAGCATGAAGAAAGTGAGAATGAACCTGAAGCCTATTTTTTCAGTTGAAATATATAAATATAAATAGTAGGGTTGTTCTGAGCTGATCAGCAGAACAGGTACCATTCAAGGTTTTTGATTAACCTGTTATTGCTATAAAAAGTTGATTTCTGTTCCTTTGTTACAGTGAAACTGATTTTCACTCTCTTACTCTTGTTGCTATACATTAAAACACTAACATATTCCTAATACATGCAAGTATTGTGACAAAGAGAGCTGTGAAGTGGACAGAGAGAGACAGAGAGGAAGAGAGAGAGAGAGAGAGGGAGAGAAAGTGAGAGATAAAGAAAGAGAGAGAGACTGGTCGAGTAGTGGTTTTGGCTGAATACGCAGGGTTCTCCAGTGTCTCACTGGGGTACAGGGAAATTTCACACACACATGCTGGTTGCTTACACTGGCACATGGGGCTGGTACAGTATTACAACACATTACCATCTCTATTTGGCATTGTTTGCTTTGCCTCATGCCTACACATACAAACACACATGCTCGTGTGCACACAACTCCTGACCATACAAGCCAACCACAGGCACCAGGGGAATAGTCTATTGGCTACTGGCAAAGCCGACGCCTGGTCTGAGTCCAAGACAGAGCAGAGAGGAGCTGTGAAGGGAAATGCCAACGATTTCAGCTTCAAAAGATGTCATCACTTGATCATATGTAGAAATTTAAAGGGGGCTAATCAAATCAGCTTTGAAATAGTTAATATTTGAAGTGAGCTATTTGAGTCCAAAAAGACAGTAAGTATGTCTCCTGTGATAAAATTATCACATCATACATTATTCTATTGGTATTTGTCTGTTTTCTCCAATTATGTTTTGTTTTATACAGACAACTAACATTTGTTTAACAGTGCTTCATGCAGATGTTTGTGTGTGTGTGTGTGTGTGTGTGTGTGTGTGTGTGTGTGTGTGTGTGTGTGTGTGTGACGGATGGCAGAGGGCCAACAACACTGCTCCTCCTCAGGGTAGATAAAACAAGACTCACAAATCACCTAGTCCTGACACCACCATGTTTGTGTGCAGATCTACAATACATTAAGACAAGCCAACACTTCTGTTTGTGTGCCTGCTTTACATCTGAGTGTTTTATTAGAGCTCTGTGTCTCAAACTGCTTTTGTTCTGCTGTGCATTCATGTTTGTGTTTTCTTAAGTCTGTAAGTACAATCCTGGAAATTATTGGTACCCCAGAATTTTAAGTACAGGATTTAGCATGTCCTCAGAAATAAATGTAAATTAACCAATTTTGTATAATCAAAATATTGTAATAAAATGTCCATTTTTGAACAAAAATAAAAACAAAAATTGCACAATAGTGAAATAATACAAACACAAAATATATCCTGGACACAAGTATTGACACCTTTCACTGATATTTGGTTGCAGAAGCTTTTGACAACAATGACAGCCTCTAAACCATCTAGAAGCTTCTTGCACCTGTCTGCGGGTAGTTTCTGCCATTCTTCCATTTCTGTGTGTGTTCAAGCTCTTTTAAGTTTACAGGAGTCCTTTTTGCAATGGCAAATTTCAGTTCGCTCCAAAGGTTTTCAATGGTATTTAGGTCAGGCCTCATCGCTGGCCAGTTTAAAACAGTTCATCGTTTCTTTTCCAGCCACTCTTTTGTGCTGCTGGTTGTGTACTTTAGGATGTTGTCCTGCTGAAACACCCAATACCTTCGCTTCTGACCTAGTTTTCTGACACTGGGTAACACATTTCACTCTGAAATGCCTTGGTAATCTTCTTATTTCATGATTCCTTTGAAACATTCAGTGCCTCCAGTACCAGAGGCAGAAAAGCAGCCCCGCAACACGATAGAACCTCCACCATGTTTTATTACAGGTCGGGTCTTCTTATGGACTTCAATTTGTTGCTTATACACAAACTGATGCACTGCATTCCCAGAGAGCTCTACTTTGGTTTCATCTGTCCATAGACCATTATCCCAGAGAGGCTGTGGCTTATTTATGAAGGTTATTGTAAACATTAGTCTTGCCTTTTTGTACCTTTCCTTCAATAGTGGTGTCCTCTCTGGCTTTTGCCCATGGAGCCCTCCCTACTTGCTTTAGTGGATGGTGTATGGTACAGACTGAAAACAGCCACCCCACATTGCTCCTGCCTGAAGCGCTTTAGATGTCTTGTGTGGAACTTTTGCAGTGTCACGTCCTGGAGGAGTCTTGACAGTTTTATAACTGTGAAACTTCTTGATAACATTGCAAACTGTTGAAGCAGGATTTTTAGGGATTGCTTTGTAGTCCTTGGAGTTGTTATGTTATTTTAATAGCATTTCTGATGATCTCACACAGGTCTCATGTTTTTGCTATTGTGAAAAAGAAGCTGGAAACAATCAGCCCCTTTTTATGTTCATTAACTTTGGACATTTTATCAAATATTCTGGTTATACAAAATTGGTTCATTTGCATATATTTCTTAAGATATTTTAAATTCTGTACTTAAAATTCAAGGGTGACAATATTTTCAACCAGGATTGTGTGTGAGCCTGATCTTGTGTACACCTCTCTGCTGAGTTTGAGTGTCCTTCCGCTTCATTGTGTTTTTGTTTCTTCTTCTGTGTGCGTGTGTGCATGTGAGTATGTTTGTGTCTGTGTAAGAGGTTGGGCCAGAGAGAGTGTGATGGGAACCAGGTGTAAATTCAGTTATTAGATGGCTTTCAGAGACCAGCATACATAAATAAATGCATGACAAAGGAAAAGAGAGAAAGGGGAGGAGAGGATTTGCAAGGTAAGAAGGGAGGAATAGGAGTAGAGATGTGTAGGAGAAGTGTAGAAGAAGATAGGTAAGGTGAAGAACAAGGTGAAGAGGTAAGAGGACAGAGGAAGAAGTGAGAGCTGAAGAAACAATATTAGATGTGAGAGAGCAGAAGCAAAAGAGAGCAAAAGGGAAGAGAAAAAGAAAACACAGGGAGAACACAGGAAAGAAAGAAACTGTAGAACTGAGAAGAGAAGGAAAGGACAAGAAGGGTGAAAAGAGAGAGGAAGAGAAAGCAGGTAAGGGAAGGAAAATAATACAAAGAAGTGAGTACAGATGAAAGAAAGAGAGAAAGAAAGAAAGAAAGAAAGAAAGAAAGAAAGAAAGAAAGAAAGAAAGAAAGAACAAAAAGACAGAGAGAGTTGGGGACTGGAGAAAAAGGGAGGAAAAAGTGAGCAGATAGCAGCAGAATGATACAACATGTATCTTACCAGTCACAGTGTAATTTCTGGGTCCATCAGTGTGCGTTACTATGGTTCCAACACCTGTCTGGTTCAAGTGGTATTGTTGTATGATTCCATTGGGACGAGTAGGTTCAGACCAGCTCACATGAAGGGAGGAGGGACTTAAAGCTGTTACCACTGGAGGCTGCACACCCTCTGGGACACCCTGGACTGTGACTGCCACCACCTAAACACACACGTGGACATGGAAACACACAAAGAGGCTCAGAAGCACACACACAGATGCTAAAAGAGGGAAACACACACATACGATATAAAATATAACACATTTCTGATATTTTACAGAATGTAAAAGTAGTCAATAACAGATGGATTTCTGCTGTCATCATTTATGAACGTAATTAACATGATCACAACCTAATAAAACGCTGCATCTAAATTCAGGGCTTCTCTTTTTGAGGTAATAAAGACCGTGTTAACAATAGAAGAAGACATTTGCAGGTGCTGGTGTAATTTATTTCCAAAAAAATAAAACAGACAGATGAGTAAAATGTGGACAGCAAGACATTATGATGTTACAACTTACAGCTAAATATGGCCAAAAAAACATCCACTATGCATGCTATGGAAAAACCTACTATAGCACCATGAGCTGTTGTATTTGACCAACACAGTGAATGTACTATTACATATTACTGGCAATTTTACCAAAAGCGGTATACCAGTCTGAGAATACTGGACATTAACAGTTTGTTGTTTCCAGTTGAAGGATCATCTCTCCAGAATGCTATTCTATCACCCATTCTGATAGCAACACAGATGCCCTGCCTTAAATGATCTGCTCCATTGATTTAACATTTGTGCATGACAAAGAATCCTATTGAAAACTGTTTCAGCAATGCCACCTGTAATAAGCACTTTAATTATGTTGGCTGTGGGGGATCCAATAGCATAGGTGATAGGTAATCACTGTGACAAAAAGAAAAAACATAACAAATCATCAAGCAATCCCCTGTTAGGCTCAGGTCATACAAAAAAATTGCTGCTTTTTTGTTCATTTTTGTGAGTGACCATCTTATTGTAAATTCCTAGTGTAGTATCTGTTGGCCCCTGTGAACACTGGGTGAATGTGGAGACCACAGAATCACAGGGCAATCTGCTGCTAATGGCAACAGGGATATCCTGCCTTAATAGACTGTCACTAGCACTTCCCCCACCTGTCCCGCACAGTGCTATGCAATTAGAACACTGCTACTACAACTATGGAGACACACATGCACGTGCACACACATAAACATACGCAGGTACATGCAGGTATACACACACAAACACAAAGAGGTGGAGGGGAGGAAACAGAAAAGGAAGCAGAGAAGAAGAAGATAAGGAAGATGCAGGGGAAATGTGTTTCAGTGTGCTTTCAACTCAGATGCCTGTCGATATTTTTGCTCAAATGTAAACAAAATAAAAGCCATATAACCAACCTAAGTGGTGCTTTGGTGGACAACTTAACTCCGATTTAGAGAAATTAGGACCCAGTGTTGAGCAGTACATGGATACGGGAAGATTACAGTCAAATGTGGCTACTGAAGAGATACAGTAGATGCACCTGGGTAATCTGGATTCCTTTTGGGGTGCAACTAACTAACTAGTGATGCTACCTATCTGTCTTTGATCCTGGCTGATTTAAAATGTTTGATCCATGCATAGTTTATTAACAGGGTAGACCGAATATCTGTATACATGAAAAAAGCATGCTTCACTAGGATACTCTTCATCCAGTCCTTCTCTCTATATTCAATGGAATGGAAACATGGAGGGACAGAGGAAAATGGGGTTGTGAGAGGCATACAGAAAAGAGAGAAGGGGGAATACTGGACACCAGATGACAGTTGTCTTAAAAGAGAAACTTGTGTTTAGATAGTGGGAAGGAGTGAGGATGAGAGGGGTTAAAAAAGGAAAGAGACAACAGTTGGGAGAAACTGGAGAGTGCAGCATTAAGATAGGGAATGACAGGAGACAAATAGCAGAAAGAACAGGACAAAAGGATGCGAAGACAGAGGAGGACCAATCGCTGTTCCTTCCTCTCTAAGTGACCAACCGTATTAGATCAGCACCTTCTGTTGTCACAGCAGGTGTGTGTTTGTGTGTGCCTGTGTTTGTTGTGCTGTGCCTGTGTGTGTGTATGTGTATGTGTGAGGGGGCTGATGCCAGGTAATTGCAGTGGTGTATTAGGTTAGCCCAAGTTATCCCATAATTGGGACTGTTTGGCCAATTTTCACTGGTGTACAAACTAATTCCAACTCACTCCCCTTCCACCCTCTGCTCGGAGTGTGTGCTTGTTTGACTGAACATATGTATGTGTGAGAAGGAGAAGTGGACAGAGAGAACATGGAAGACAAAGACTGAGTTTGTGGTGTAACTGCGTATGGCTTTATGAGGGGACAGTAAAAGACTTTTCCATTCAAGTGAATGGACAGAGTTCTCCTGTTGGTCATGTAGTTCTCTTCTAAATGGAGAAAGTTTCCAGCCATGCAGATAAAACAGGACAATGTGCAGACATTAACTTAAAATCACGTGTGCAGACACCCACAATTTAAACTTCTCTTTTTCTCTTTTCACCTGGAGAGCCAATATCCAGAGGTATTGCTTATCACTTTGTAGTAAAGCAATTATAGGTTGTATATCTCTTTATATTTCTTGACCTCAACAAGTCTCTCCTCATCCATGGGCCACACAGTGACAGACAACGACAGACAGCAACAAAGACAGCAAGAGGTGAGGAGAGGGAAGTCGAGCTACTACGGGAGGTGGGAAGTACAAAACAGCCTTTTCCCTGGAAAAATATTTGACGCACTCCAGCACACCTAGCTGCCGCTGAGCCGCCACCGGTGTGAGGGTTGTACATAGATAATAATTGGGGTGAAATAAAATAAATGAGCTAATGTTGTAGAGTGAAGAACCAAAAGATCTTTAGTTTTCAGAAACTACACCTTAGTTTAAGTGAAATTACCTTATTGTTCAATATGGACAAAGACATTGCGACAATGAAATGATAACTGCTATGTTTGATTGAGATGTGTAAGTCTTATGGTATACATTATGTAGTCTAGTGATTGGCAGGTCACCTTAGCATCAGATTTTGCACAGGTTTACCAGCTTTACTTGGGCTCCACTCTTTGCACAGGTCTGGCTGCTCACGCTCTAAACATTACAAGAGTAATAACTCTAAACACAGTCTACTAGTTACTTACAAGTGGCAGCCTAATCATAGGATCTCCACTGATATTTGAGGATGTCTTTGAGGGAGCCAGCCACAGTAATGTGGATGGAAATGCAATTATATTCACAAATCAACATGTCCTATCACTTGTAATACATTTACAGAGACAGAATCACAATGTGTGTACATTGTGATTCTGTTACTGTCTTATGAGAATTGTTATACATCTTTCTTTCTCTTTATCTCTCTGAAATGTACCACTCCTTCCTTTATCTGTGTCCTACATCCATTCTTTCCTATTTCATCCATGTCATTTTTCTCCCCAGCATTCATTTATTGTATACATTAATCCATCCATCATCTATTTATCTATCAACCCCTCACAACTAGTTCAACAAACTGTACCTCCATCTCATCCTCCATCATCAATCCACCCCTCCATTGACAGAGCTGCAGGCTTCCTCTTTACGTAAGAACGTGCTCATCAAAATAATGAGATGTTAAATTAGCTTTAAAAAAAAAAAGCCACAAAGACAATTTTCAACATGAGCTTTCATCACCTCTAAGCCGGAGAAATTAATTGTTGTGGTGATATCAGCTCGGCTACAGCCAGAAAGATAGCAGGGGGGAGTTCTGTGTGAAGCTATTATGGACGCTATCACAAACATCAGGTAGGCTCAGCAAATCCAGAGCCTCGCGTACAGGGGGAGAGCGGAAACAAGGCTAAATAACAACTTGTTCCGACACGGGAACAGTACAGAGTTCACACAGTATGGAAACATCACACACTGTAATTTCTTAGCAACAAAAGTCAGGCAAGTTTAGAATTTGTAAAATATCACTTGCACAACAACCGTGTACCTGAATCATGATGCAAACAGTGTTTAGACATCAACATCTGATGCGGCTTTTACAAGAGGGTGAAAGGGCATTTAGCTGAAAGGTCCTGACCAAACAATGGATCAGAGGAGCGGCAGAAGACCAATGCTGCATGGTTACTTTTGTAAATCTACCTAGTGTGAAGTAGGAAGTTGCATGTCCAAGCAATTTCTCCTTGACAGAGAAAGGGAAAACATTTTTGCACATTTGTATTCAGACAGGTGTGTGGGAGAATAAGAATAACATTGTTGAATATTATGGTAAATGTATTGATTATTTTATTATAAGTGGCGATGAAGCTGATTTTTGTTCCTTGACAAGAAAAAAAAAACACTGACAAGACACTGGCCCTAACAACACTGATTAACAAAACATCAACATATGTATTTTCTCCTTTCATCTATCAGATAATGCAAATAGCAATTAAAAGAGCGAGCAATGTTCTCTCTGATTTCTCTCTCTCACACACACGCACACACCAACATACTTTTTTTAGGCCTCTTTCTTGTCCTTCAAGTGATACACTTAAATTAAAAGACTGAACTAAAATACTGAGTAAAGTGGTGCTCAGTTCAGTGAAGCTCAGTCCATCTTTAGAGGAGCCATCAGATAATCATACAGGGGAATAATGTCTTTATAAAAAGGGGTGCTACAACAGTAATGTTTTGGAAAGTGTGCGAGAGTGTCTGTGTGTATGTATGTGGATAGGTTAGTGTGACACAGAGACAGAGCTCTACATTTAAGGCTAGCAGGACAGAGACCATCAAATAGCAGTTGGAATAGAGTTGGAATCAACAGAACAGACATTTCTTTTCCAGTTAAAGGTGGATCTTACTGTCTTTTTGTACAAAATATCTACAATATTACTTTACAATATTATATTATAACAATTAAGGACATTGCAAGTGTTGCTTATCAGTGCGAGACACTAATTTGTTTTCTCAGTAGCTGATATGGGGATTTCAAGCTTTATGAATAGTCAGGGCAGCCCAGTTCTGTGTATTTGCTTTGAACGCTCCCCCTGAAACTCCCCGAATAACTTCAATACTGATACAGACATGGCATCATATTTGAGGGACAGGTAAACATGAGGTTAGCCACATACGCTGCTAATGAGCTAATACTGTGATGTAACATAAAAAATGTTAGTCTGACAAAGCAAAACTATGATAGCACTGACCCAAACATACAAAGTCTTACCTGTGTGCTGTCTGTGCAACCAGCCCGGTTACAGACCCTCAGCTGGTAGCTGTATTCCTGAAAAGGCCTGATCCCACCCACATCAGTGAAACTATTTTCATCACCACGGTAACGCTCTTGTCCATCCCTCAGTATAACATAGTGGGTGATGTCCCCTGGTAAAATGGAAAAAGTGGTTTAATTTTTGATAATCAATGGCAGATTTTTCTCAATATCTATATCTTTGAGTCTAGATGCACATTAATCCTAAATAGCTGTCTACTGATGTTAATTAACTGATCAACAGAGAAGGCTTTTTATCACTAGTTTAATATCCAAACACTAGTGACACACATATACACACCATTAGGCCGTGCAGGTGCTTGCCATTGTAACTGGATGATGTCATCTCGTTCACCAAGGCGACTCCAGCGGGGCGGTGCCACACCCCATGGTTTGTCTTCACTGGTGGTCACTGTTGTAAAATCACTGGCGCCTCGTCCAAAACTGTTCCAGCCCCTCACTCTGTACTCATAGGTGGTGAAGGGCTCCAGGTTAGAGTCTATTTAAGAGTAAGAAAGGACAGAAGAAGGGGAGCAAGTGAGACAGAAAAATAAAGTATGATGGGAGGCAAGAAAATATCAACAATAATCTGTCAGTAAGATTGTCAACACATTGGTTAATGAATATCAGTATGCAAACAATCATGTTGTAAAAAGGTCTATCTAAAACAGCTCATATTTTCATAAAAAAATGTGGGACTGATAGAAACAAGACCTATATTTATTGTGGTTAAAAGTAATCAGCAAATATCCAAAATAATAAACATCACGACATGGAGTTTGTATCTCCTGAGATTTGATTTCTTTGGTGCATTTCATTTTAATGAATGATGTTTGTGAATGGGGATAAGTTGCAGTAGTATGTGACATGGCTTCAGCACAGAGCGAAGGGATTCAAAATATACTAGTGTGGTCCTCACCAAGCAGATTACAAATTTAAAGACAGCATGTAGCAAAGTAATTCTGATGGATTTGTGCACAGTATATGCTATTCATGAAAGACATAACAGATGTGCTTATCAAAATAACATAGTAACAATAGTTCCATCATTGCAACTGCACCAGGAGTTGTATTGCCAATGTACACACATGTTACAACATGAACATACACGACATACACTACATCAAATAATGTACATGTATATGCACTATCACAGGTGCATAGTCGATTTCAGGCCGTGACTGAGGCATTCTGGGAGATAGGTTGTTACAGCCCTTCTGGTGAGATATACATACAGGACCATATATACATACAGATGCACGTGCACACAATTACACACATATGTGCATTATTTTTAGGAGTGTTAAGGGACTACTGCTGTAAATGAGACCATGTTTTAACCACCGATCTGGGATTTTTGTCTTTACTACTGCGATAACTGAAGCAGGAAAATACACATAGTGACACACACATGTAAATAAAACACTTCATGTGTTTGCATACATACATGCCTAAAAACTGTCATTCTGCGTTTGACTGTATTTATTGATTATAAATATAAGCTGTGTGTGAACACAACAGTATGTATTTAAAACATTAATTGTGGCCCTATGTGTTATCTACCTTAGGTTTTTCTCCCAGAGAAGTATAGCATATCATATGTGTGTGAGTGTCTGTGTGTGTGCATGAGAAACATCTGGTGTATGGTGGGTGGCGACAGCTTTATGTGCCTCTGCCCAGATGGTGTCACAGCATCACCTAGAAACTCTTATCCTAACCACCCCATGCCCCCCCCCCCCCCCCCAGGCTCCATCCGCCCCC